ACCTAAACCTCCCCTGTCTCACTTTAAAACCATTCCCCCTTGTCCTATCACTATCCACCCTCATAAACAGTCATTCCCACTCCTGTTTATATTCTTCCCTTCAAGTACTGGAAAGCCGCAATGAAGTCTCCTTGGAACCTTCTCTTCTCCAAAGGTTCCCTCAATCTTTCTTCATAGGAGAGGTGCTCCAGTGTGCCTGAATTTCTAACACTACCCTTCAGTTGTGGCTTTTAACTCCCCTCACACTTTTAAATCTATCCTTTCCCAGTTAAAAGCAACCTTCATAAGCACAAGGACTTCTTATAATGCACACACAGCAGTTTTTACTACCCAGGCCACCCTATGTGGAAGCATTTCCCTACCATCACTGGCTCCATGCATTATGCTTACACCCCCACCCCTACTGTTACTAACCTTTTACAAAGCCCCATGTGCCTTCTCTTTTCTATTATGCACTGTTCGCTTCAATGATCTCTGCTCATCATCTCAACAGTGGCAATTCGGGATTTAAAACACCAGTTCTCCCCTCGCCAAAGGGATTCTCTCTCTGGTACACTTTTCAGTATATTTCACCATGAAGAAGGCTGTCAATCCATGGCCATAGGTTTTCAAGTCTCGTTCTTCTCTCCAGTAATTTCACGGTAGTTACAAATATCCCCCTTCTCTTATGCTACTGATCCAGTCCAAAAGTCTTTGCAGTCAAATTCCTAAAACTTGCCTTACAACTTCTCTCTCATTCAGACCTCTTGCACCTCTTCAGTACAGCTTTGCTATAGTTTTGCTCCATACAGGACAGGCAAACAGACTCACAAGAGGTGTTTCTGAGTCCTTTTCCCAAACCTCTACACCACCAGCTCAGAAAACCATCAAACCCAACCATACATTTGACAAATAGCACCACAACCTGGATCATCCCACATCAGAAAAGACTGTTAAATACCGGTAGACTCCATTTACTTCATCTGTTTCTATGGCTGCATCATCACACAGGGCACAGAAGTAGTGGTAACTCCTGCGGCAGGCTCTCTCCTCACATCCCACTGTGGCTCCTTTCTTGCGACAGAAGTTGCAAACCTACAACAAAATGAAATCTAACTTAGGAAACAAATATTATCCTCTATAGGAAAGTCCCATCTTTCATTGCAATACTTAGAGCTCTGTGTAATGCATCCAGCTTACAAAGCCAAACTCTTACCCTGCTCAGTGTTTCATTCATCTCTCTGCTATTTTGCCTCAGCTGCATCATTTCACCCATTAAGCAGTATAAAAAGAACTACATGAGGGTACTGGACAGCTTCCCTCCCCACCTCGTTCCAAATCTTGCCCAATCTATTTCTGTACTTATTGGTTGCATTTATGATTTTCAGACTAACTTCATAGAGAAATGAGTTCCATCCAAGAAGGGAGAAGAGCTGAAAACAAAACAAGACGATGATCTCACATATATAACCCTCCTCCTAAAAAGAAACGGTGTTTCCCTTTATCTTTATGGGTTACATAATTTTGTTTCAGGCACTGGATTGGTATTTCAAAGTCTCTCAAGGAAGTCTCTTAGTTTTTTCTCTTAGGAAAAAAAGGCCAGAAAACCCAATAAATTTCAATTACTAAGAAAAATAATAATGGAATTTCAGTAAGTATGATGTCAAATTGATGTTTTTAATTCTAAATCTGTAATTTCTAATTTCCCCAGTCTTAGGTCAGGAGGAACAAGGCCTTCTTTAATTTCTTCTCCCCAGGCATAGCTGACCAAACCACCTCAGTGTGCACCCTACCCCCCTGCAGAGCATTCAGATAGGACTGAGCGCAGATTCAGAAAGAAACTGCCTTACCAGTCGCTTTCCTCTCTTGAGTTCATTCAACACTGATTCCACATCAAATCTTAAATCTAGATTTTCTGGGTTATACTCTTCAGATTCCACAAATCCAGAGGAAAATAACTAGAGACAAAGGGACAATGATAAGAATTAACAGAGCCAGTTAGTCATCAATGTATAAAATGTCCCTCTCTTTTATCACTGATTTTATACATCTGATCCTCTTGCATGTAGACGATCTCACATAACTTAAAGATGAACCAAGAACAGGTTGAAAGGTGAGAAAGTGAACTCATTAAGAAGCGCGAATGAAGTTCACAATGCACAGAGTAAAGAGGAGAAATTGTTTGGCTGACAGATTTCCACACCTTGACTAACTTATCTGCCCAGTTGTTCAAGCCAAAAAGCAGCCAAGCAGCACACTCTTCCAAAGGCAGACACATTTATAAAGTCATTAGAATCATAGAATGGCCTGGGTTGAAAAGGACCACAATGATCATCTAGTTTCAACCCCCCTGCTATGTGCAGGGTTGCCAACCACCAGACCAGGCTGCCCAGAGCCACATCCAGCCTGGCCTTGAGTGCCTCCAGGGATGGGGCATCCACAACCTCCTTGGGCAACCTGTTCCAGTGCATCACCATCTCTGGGTGAAAAACTTCCTCCTAATATCTAACCTAAACCTCCCCTGTCTCAGTTTAATGCCATTCCCCCTTGTCCTATCACTACCCACTCAGTTGTTCTCCCTCCTGTTTATACAAGTACTTCCTTCAAGTACTGGAAGGCCACAACGAGGTCTCCCTGGAGCCTTCTCTTCTCCAAGAGAAACAAGCCCAGTTCCCTCAACCTTTCCTCATAGGAGAGGTGCTCCATCCCTCTGATCATCTTAGTGGCCTTCCTCTGGACCCCTCCAAGAGCTCCACGTCGTTCCTGTACTGGGGGCCCCAGGCCTGGATGCAGTACTGCAGATGGGGCCTCATAAGAGCCAAGTAGAAGGGGACAATCACCTCCCCGTCCCTGCTGGCTACCGCCTTTTTAATGCAGCCCAGAACACAGTTGGCCATCTGGGCTGCAAGAGCACACTGCTGCTTATGGGTAAAAAAGAAAAAAAATTAAAAAATCATTCACACAACATTTACAGCCCTAAAATTGATTTCAAACCGAGCACCCAACACTTAATTATGTTTTTGAAACATTGTTGAAAAATTAGTAGAAATCTAAGGATATAAACAAAGCCTGCCAGAATAAGGCAGGAATAGTGAAAGCCAGGAAGCAGTTCCAGAAGCAGACACACTTCCTCCAGTAAGGAGCTCTCGCTGATGGGAGAATATGGACATCTGCAACTGATTCTGCACACCAAGAACCAGCTGCATCAAGACACCAGCATGAAAGAGCCATTTTGACAGCCAAGAAAGCAACGATGTTCTTGGATCACTCCGAGCTTAAGAGATATTTTTACATGGTTCACTCAATTCAGTGTCTCAAGAAGACTGAATTTCTACTGCTAGACTGCACGCATCTATAACACTCACTGACCAGGAACAGAGATGTGAAAACACAGCAATATGCCAAACTGCTGCAGTCACGTGCTCCCCCTCCCCAAAATTCTTACAAATGTGTTCTCCCACAGGTCTAGCTATTTTCCATTACCCCTTCTCGACTGACTAGTGATGCACCCATCTTTACTGCTATTTTTGAAGTGAACCTTTGTGCAGTATATCATAAACTTGGAGAATATTTCCTATTTCAACTGAAAGAAAAAAATGACAGAGTTCATTGTAAAGTTAAAAAAAATTATAATAAAAATGGACAAGCAATAGAAGTTTCCCCTTTAGTGTTTCTCCACTCTCCTTAGGCACCACCCAGCTGAAAACCACTCACCAAACAACTCTGATGAGCTGCAATATTTTGCTCTTTGGCAACGTACATTATAGAAGCAGCCTCCCCTTCTGAACAGAAGGCACACGTCCTTCTCACCATTTTTGCCATCATCTGGAGAGCACCTGGAACAGAAGGACTGGGACAAAACAAGCCATTTACTTACTTCACAGAACAATCTTCCTCCCCCCCTCCAAGTTATTTACAGCATCACTCCATGCAATAGTCACTGAAGTTTTACTTTGTGGTTTCCGTGCAAGTCCACAGTAGAAATCTTCAGTTTCCCACTCCCACGAGGTGAGATACTCCAAATGTCTGAGACGTCACCTCCGACAGCCCAGAGCTCTGTAGAATAAGGGTGAGAATAGCCTGGTGTTATTTTTAAGAAAAAGGATTTGAAGTATTCCAGTGACAAAAGTACAAAATAAGCAGGAAATCTCACAGCCCAGCAAATCGGGCACATATTTCTTTCAGCAGTCAACTCCTGCCTTAATTAGCTCCATATCCCTTCTATTTTATGGAAGGGGAGGTCTCCAATGAGAACACCAGAGCATAAGGGGATTTTGTTTTTATTTTTATTTTTTTTACCCCTGGCTCTGCCACTGAGACTTTACTTAATGTCAGGCAAGTCACTCGGCCTCCATGCATACCTGATTTCTTTTTCCCCCCAGCACCTTTTTGTACCTCGTAAGCAAGGTAGGATGGGGACAGACTTCCACTATCTACCTATCCAGTAATCATCACAACAGCCTCAAAACTTAGGCATTAGATAAATATACGACAGAAACAAATGGAAATCCATGAAAATATTAGAAACAGAACAGAAACAACGACAAAAGGAAACTAAAAAGCATTTAGTTTGAATGGTTAGGAAGAGTTCTCACAGCAAATTAACACCTGAAATCGCTGCAGATGCATAGGCCCTGATCACTCCCACTTGGATGAGGTGTCTCTGGGTGCCCTGGGAATTTGGTAAGATGCTGAAGTTGAAGGCTGCAGTCCCAGCTGTTCTTACAGGCTCTGAGGAGAAATCCTGGTGCTGAAAGATAACCGAAGATATTTGGTAAGGTCAGCTTTTGTATTTCCAGGCACTCTGAAGCAATGGAAGGACAGCTCTCAGCCAATCCTCACTGCAAAAGCAGCAAGCCTGCATCCAGTGCCCCACTTAGCTCACTATCCCACAACCAACAGCAGCTTTGCTTTGGCCCTATGCTCTTCCTTAGGTCTCTGCTACAGACTGCTGTCAGGAGTAGGACACGGAGCTAAATGGAACAGCAGACCCAGCTAACTGCTCTTAAGTGAGAAGGGAAAGGCTAGGGGCATAATTCAGCCCCACAGTTTAATCATATTTCACCTGAACAACCACTGGTTTCACTACACCTCAAGTGTTCTGAATGAGGGGGCAAGAAACCATCATTTCTGCAGTAAAGCCCTGAATACCACGGATCTCTCATTCTTTCTCCTGCTGCCCCTTCTTCAAGTTGAAGAATCCTTGCACAGAAGCTGTTTTGCATCTCTGATCATCTTTGTCACTTCCAAGTCCCTTCTCCACTACAATCATAGAATTGTAGGTTGGAAAAAACCTTCAAGACCATCGAGTCCAATCACAACCTGTCCATACTACCCAAACTCTAACAACCCACCACTAAATCATGTCCCTGAGCACCACATCCAAGCGGTTTTTAAACACATCCAGGGATGGTGACTCAACCACCTCCCTGGGGAGCCTATTCCAGTGCTTAACAACCCTTTCTGTAAAGAAGTTTTTCCTGATATCCAACCTAAACTTACCCTGGTGCAACTTAAGGCCATTTCCCCTCGTCCTGTCACCAGTGAGAAGAGACCAACCCCGCTCTCGCTGTAAGCACCTTTCAGATATTGCAAGAGAGCAATAAGGTCTCCCCTCAGCCTCCTCTTCCCCAGACAGCCCCAAGTCCTTCAATCTCTCTTCCCCAAGCCTGTAGGAAGAAAATAACCTTCAAAACAGAGAGGTAAAAAGGCACAACAGCACTCTCTCTCTTTTTTTCCCCCCTTAAGAATTCATAACATTCCAAACACATTCTGGATTGTTTACAAGCACACTGATAGAACCAAGCATCGCAGTCACTTGGTCCCTTCCCTAAGATGCAGCAGGCAGTATGGAAGGCATCAGTGTTAGGAGCTGTTCTGACCACACACCATTTTCCATTTACCAATGCTTGATTTTCTCACCCTCTATTTTACAGCAGAACAACTCGCTGTTGCAAACTTCTCTTGCACCTTTTGAGAGATGACTTTCACCTTCACTACCTCAGAACCTAAGGTGAATGTCATCTCCAGGAACTGGAGGCTCTTCCTCCACTAATGGGAGAGCTGATAAAGCTGTGAAACAGAAGATAGAGGGGAAGCAGCCAAGGGAATGAATCAGCTGTGTGCCTCTGCTGCTGTTCTGCTTGGTCCTTGCGCTGTTTTGCATCAACACGCCTATCAGTGGTTGCAACAGCAGCAAAGTGGAAGAAAGTAGTAAACGAAACTAAAAGAGGATGAAAGCATTTCTCAGTGCACAGTGATTGTGCAATTCCACGGTATATTTCCTCGAAACATTACTCACTGGTCCAGCTATCTCCTTTCCAGAAGCAGCTCTGGGAGCACCCATACAGGGAGATAAAGCACATTTTTGTCAGGTAGAACAGGAGGCACTAACAGCCCCCAGCACACACATGGCAGGGTAAGGTAAGGAGAAGAAACCAAGGAGCTGCCCGCTCCCGGCATCCTCACTGCTCACTTCAGGCAGTGCTGGAATTCCTCTGTCGATGCAGGGAACAGAAACAAGTCACCATATGCCTGTTCTTTGTGGGAAATCACAGAATGGCCAGGGTTGGAAGGAACCTCAAGGATCATGAAGCTCCAACCCCCCTGCCACAGGCAGGGCCACCAACCTCCACATTTAATGCTAGACCAGAGCCCCATCCAACCTGGCCTTGAACACCTCCAGGGACGGGGCATCCACAGCCTCTCTGGGCAGCCTGTTCCAGCACCTCACCACTCTCTCTGTAAAGAACTTCCCCCTGACATCCGACCTAAATCTTCCCTCCCTCAACTGAAAACCATTTCCCCTTGTCCTGCAGTTGTCAACCCTTTCAAAGAATTGACTCCCCTCCTGTTTGCAGGCTCCCTTTACGTACCAGAAGGCTGCAGTGAGGCCACCCCGCAGCCTCCTTTCCTCCAGCTGAAGAAGCGCAGCTCCTCCAACGAAAGCAGCAGCAGCTCAGCACAGCGCTGCGCTCCTCTCAGTCCCGCACAAACACACCCGCCCACCGCGAGGCTTCCACAACACACCCACCCTCTGCTACCACCCAGGAAACGTTTTCACAGCCGTAATTTTTAAGCAGGCGGACGGGCTGGCGGCTCCGTCCCTTCTCACAGCCGCCCCACGTTACGGGGATAACCGCAGGGCTCCTCATCGGCTCCCGACTTTCCCCCGCTTCCGAGGCGCTCGGCCTCGCAGCGCTGGAAGCCCTCAGCCACTCCCTAACGCCCTCGTTCCGCACGCTGCCGCGACAACCGGCGCGGTGGGACCGGCATCGGGGCACGGGCCGACCCGCAGCGCAGCGCCGCTCCTTACCCTTACCGCGGGGCGCCGCTCCCGTCCACCGCCACCCCCGGGCCCGGCCTGCGCGGCGGCCCACTTCCACGCGGGGGAGGAGGCGCACAGAAGTGGGCGGGGCCCGGCGCACAGCGAAGCATGCTCACTAACAGCCCCAGGCGGCGGGGTGGGGCTTCGAGCAGCCGATTGGCTGCTGTACGGAATGCGGGAGGGGATTGGAGCTGTGAGGGTCACGTGGTGAGGGAGCGGCTCTCGGCTCATCCCCGCGCCTATGGGCGTGGTGGAGCTGGGGTCAGGGGTTCGAATCCCGCTCAGGGCCCGAACCTCCGGCTGCCGTTTTGCTGTAATCAGGAGGACAAAATCAGGCTTATCCTCGGCAGACAAAAGCTCCTGATTCTTCGCTTATCACAGGCTGAGTCCCTCCAGCCACCTGCTCACCGGTTATGATTTCTACACAGGAAATCCCTCACTATCTCCTGTTCAAAGCCCTGCATTGACTCTCAGCCACTTCCTTCTCTGAGATAGGCCAAACTGGCAGTTAGCACTGTCAGTAACATAACACTGAAAAATCAGCGTCATGTGCTGCAGTCCAGTTTCTATCACAGCTGTGCCACCAGCGATCTTCAGTCAGCGCATTCAGAGTCACACAGAATGGCCAGGGTTGGAAGGGAGCTCAAGGATCATGAAGCTCCAACCCCCCTGCCACAGGCAGGGCCACCAACCTCCCCATTTAATACTAGAGCAGGCTGCCCAGGGCTGGCCTTGAACACCTCCAGGGACGGGACACGGTGGCTGCTAACATCCTTTCCCCATAGGCCACAGGGCCACGCAACTGCCAGCCCTTCACCAGGACAG